CTGCTGCGTCCACAACACAACTATATAAGGTAAGTTTTTAGCTATGAAATTTAATATGCTTCTGTTATCCTTGTTGAATTTGATATGAGATTCCTATCTACATTAAGAGTTCCATCGATGTGCATCGGCGTGGATTCGAGAAAGGCTTCCGTGCAGGTCGAATCAGCTTGGCAAAGGTGGTTTTGATCAAGTATTACAATTGCATCTATGACTACTTCTTTTATTTCATCAATTAAGGAAGTGATGACTGCCTTGACCAGTGGATCAGCAACTGATTTGAATAGTCTATTTGAAATGCTTTATGCGAATGTTCGTTTGTCTTCTGCTGACGATGGTCAGCGTATGGGTCCACCGCCAGTTGTGTCCTCAGACACCCTAGCAGCTGTGCATCTTTTTCAGCAGGTTATCTTTAACCCAATTCAAGATTGGGGAACACAGTTTCTCCTCTATTGCAGCATACATGATAAGAACTCTTGAAGCGCTATCAGACCCGGTTTTGTACTGGTTATTAGTGAAAGGGAATGACGTAGTCTAGTCTTCGGTAGGTCATTTTGACGTTAACATCGAATGAACTATCATGCCTTCGCAGCCTCGCTTTATTGCTGTTATGAATATGATTACTGCGAAGTTTTTTTTTTAATTGATGGCAAGCTGTGCTGTCCGGCATGCTGTGCTTCTCTTCTCAAAGTATGAATTACGCGCTATACTCGATCGGTCCACTATTTTGTAAATTTTAATCGACCCACATTTGTTGTTCGTTACTAATGATATTCTTCAAGCGAATCGACTTCACTTCAGGCTCTGTCTCCTGCGGCTTCAGCATCTCCACAAAGAGGTCCAGATCTCAATGCTTTTTTGTCTTCCCAGGTTCAGCGTCATCGAAAGCGCCAGCGGCAGCGATCGCCGACTTCTCCATCCACACTTATCAAAAAAGTGCGACGGATATAGGTACAACGTGCTCAAGTACACCTCCTGTCTTGTAGTGCACTACATTTTATTCATTTCTTTGAGCTTGCTCGTACAGATCGTTTATCTTCAATCTGATTTTTGCCTAGGAAATAGTGCCACAAAGCTTGCAAAATTCTTAGTTCCGGAATCTTCCATGCTAGGTCATCTTTGTGCTCTGATTGCTGTAAATAAAGATTACTCAAAATAGTAAAATAATTATTTCCCTGCTTCCTTTTTTTTTGCTTTTAGTCAGTCTCCTTTATTGTGGTAATCACTCGTCAACGCTATAGTTGTGATTTTTAAGATCCTTTTTTCGCTCTTCTTTTTTTGTGTACTACGTCAACCTACCAACATAGTGAAGTTTTGCTATAAATTATTCGGGTACAGTTATTTTTATCCGAATAATGTTGTTTTGTAAATTCAGTTGCATCTTGAAAAGCCTTGTAGATGTTGGTAGAATTTCGAAATTGATCCGCCGTTTGCATTAGTCTTTCTCTGGAGCTCGTCTAGTTCTTTTCTTATTTTATAGCCATAAACAATAGCACTTCTTTGTCCCAATTGAAGGGATTCTCTTCGCCTCTTCGGGTAAGGTTCTTTACTGCTACTCGATAGTACTCAATGTGAAGCTGACTATTAGATGATTCTGATGTCGTACGCATAAATACTGTTCCAAGTGCTGGAGACATACATGGCGGTAGAATCCTATACTCTTTTCTTACTTTTGCAAGGTGTAAGGTTCTTTTATGTGTCTATGTTGTTGATCTTGAAGGCATCAGCAATGGTTCGTAAACTCAAGCTTCACGAGAAGAAATTATTGAAAAAGACGGATTTTATGCAATGGGAAGTTGATCAACAGGGCAAGCAGACGGAGCAGATGAGAAAGTGCGCACCTTTGTTCCCTTTTTATACTTCTATTGGGTTTCGATTCGGAAACATTCAGCCTTAAAAGGAAATGAAGTGCAATGAATCAGTTAGGAAGTATGTGAATAGTTCTCGCTTGCATGATTATATCTTCATCTTCGGGATGACGTCTCGTCGTTTGTGAAAAGTTGGCAAACAGAGCAGCGGTTTACCATTTATCCGAGCTCAGCCAAGCCACACTTTAAGTGACGCTGGGAAGTATTTGGCGGCTTTACTTGTATCATCTGTTATCGTCTCGTTGACCATTGATTTGCTCGAGTAAGTGTCGTAGCGACAACACTCGTCCCTGTCGTAAGACCATGTAGTCCGGGGACTTTCTTCGTCAAGGTACAAGATTTCTTTTGTTCAAGCTTTGTAAATAAGCCTGATCATAGCGCTGGCAGCTTTCATGGTGTACGTTAGAGGTCCGAGCGATTTGGTCAGTAATCGTTTCGGTTCATCGGTCATCCCAAAATCGCATTTCGTGACTGGACCACCTGATCTTCGAATCTTTCGCATGCTGCGGCATCCCTGATCGTAGTTGGTTATCGGAGCTCGGAACCCTAACTTCTTTCTGCACTTGCGTATATTGGGAAACGCTAAGCATGGATTGGATGACGCCAGTGAAGAAGAACACTGTTGAAAAGGTGAGCGAGGCGGATGTTCTGCTATTCGTTTCGTTTAGCTCAAAGGGAGTATCGCGAACCAGCACTTTTCTCACGAACATCGTCCTCCTTAAGTTCAGTCTGAAGTCGGTCTTCTCAGAAGCCTGTCGAATTCAATCCAAATTCGTTCCGCTCGCTCGATTTTCGATTTTATAAGCACGATATCGTCGCATAGCGGGAATATGTTAGTTCCCGATGCGGGACTCTCCTTCTTTTTCTCACCATCCCTTTGAATATCTGCGCACTTTTGAATGGGTTGGTCCCATATCGGCCCATCCCGTATGGTAATGTACTCAGGAGTTGTGCTGTAAATGCAAAGCCGCACCTTCTTGCATATAATGAATCAGAGAGGCTGTAACCGCATAGTGCTTGTATAGCGGAGAAGTTGTCACGCTACAACCACACGCTGTGTTCCTTTGACCTCGGGTGCAAACACTTCTTTAATGGGTTGAAATGTGTTTAGAAAACTGGCCTAAGATATTGTCAGAAGAATGCTGCGAAACTGGTAAGCATGGCTGAAGCAAACTTGCAAGAACACTTCTATGGATCACTAGAAATAACTGCATAGATATGGAATTCATTCCGATCATAAACTTTGGTTCCTGACGAAGACTTGACGTTCGTTGTAGTAAGAGAAAATTAATTGAAGTCGATTTCGTAGGGAAGCAGTGTTGGCTTGTTCCAATAATGTCCCAACTGAGTTAATATGAGTGAAAGTCGATCATTCTCCTCATCTTCTTTGTGGTCATTGAGGGCTCTTGTTGGTTGCAGTCATCTTAGAAGTTTATTCACCAGTGTGTATGCTCATTTGTCCCGTAAACAGTAACCAGTGGGTCGGTTCGACCGGGATTCCAGAAGAGGTTCATTTTTCTCTGGATATTGTTGAGGAGGTAGTTTGAAAATTTCACAATACGTTCATGTTCATGAAATAATGCTGCGCTCGGAAGATCCGAAGCACTTGCCAAATGCCTCCTTTAATACCCGATATTTAATTGATTGTGGGCCTACTGCCCGATATTTTCCGTGTTACTGCTGTTTTGCCGGGATCTTTAGCGATGTCAGAATTAAAATATCTTCAACGGCTGTTGCACGCTCTATCTTCCTATTCGGGAAATCAGCCATGTAAAGGCTGTCCCTGAGTTGTCCGTGACGATGAAATGGTCTATTCGACCTTTCTCCTTGTTCACTTTCCGTTCTGTTTTTAGATCACTTTGAATATCTTTGACGTCCTTTCCGTCTTGACTGCATATAGCGCTCTATTGCTTGAACTGTTGTGCATTTCAAGTGAGACTGATCAGTCGTTCACTAATGAGCTCCAGTGCAAGTTCTTTTATGAGAGGTTGGACAGGTTAAGGTGTTGTGACAGGCAGAGGTGGTTTAGTGGCTTCTCAGGAAGTGGAAGAAAACGATTACCATCTTTTCCATTCTTGGCAAGGACGTGGTCATAATCTAGTAAAGATGTGGGCGTGATAAAAAATTTCATTTTTTTTTTCGCCGCAAGTTCTCGATGAAAAATCCGCCTCCCATTCCGCTTCTTAGTGTACTTTCAAGGTGTTGTGATTTTGTTTTCCAGATATCACATCACGAAGAGGGAGCACTATTCTCTGTACAACAAGCTGGCTGCCGAGGTATACATTACTTAACGTCCTATACGGCATTTGAAGGTTTTTGTCGTAAATTTTGTAGGTTCGGTCTATAGCAGAGAAGCTTAAAGAGCTCCCACCAAACGAACCGTTCCGAGTTCGATGTGTTCGTGAGATGCTGAGCAAGTTGTATGCCGCTGGGGTGATTCCAACAGCTGACACTGCAGAACGATTGGGGAAGGTGATTTTCTTGATTCAGTTCCTTTCATTTTTATAGAGTTTCGGATTCTATCGGCAAAATCACGGAAGTCTTGAAGCTTCGGATAAAAAATTAATTGCAACTCGATGCAAGTCGCTTATCGTAAAGTGGGATTCACGACGGACTTTTTTTTTTCTAGAGGATGTGGGTCGGAGTCCGCTACATTCACAGGTAGTCCTGACACAAAATTTTCCTCTGAGTAGCGCGTAAACTCTCTTTCTCTCACAGTTTTACCTGCTAGGTTGTTGCCCCATTGATTTCGGATCTGAGGAATGTAATTTCTCGATCAACATGGAGTTGCGGTGGCGATTATAATGTTGTACATCCACGTATTGCTTATCCAAGGCTTCCCGTTTTCCGTTGATGCTGCAATTATTTTTTTTCTTAAAAAATTTCCCCCTTCATTGTAGATCACTTGTGGTTGCGGGGAACGGAATTTCACCCAATCATAAAGAATTTTAATGCCTTCATTGGGTGGGTGTTTTGAATAATTGTAGTCAAGCGTCACTTTGACGTATACTTCTATCTCAACACTAAAGCTGTTTTTCTCATCATCTGAAAAGCATTCATCCAGATGAGTAAAAAGTGTAATAGTTATGGCTTTCCAGCGCTCTAGCGGTCCCACTATTCCTGCCATTGTCTCGTGATAGGTACTTATCATTCCCGTTTCACGTCAATGGGCTCAACATTCATAAATCGGCCGAGGGATAAGGTTGACGCAAACAACGTTAGGGTAAGCACATGCTGCCTCCATTGTTAGATTGGGTGAGTTGTGGCAGTTGTTAAGCTGAATAATATTTTGATCGCTATTATCGTATTTATGCAGGCGCAGGCATGCATTGGGCGATGGTGGTAGGTCAGAAAAGTAACGCGAATGATTCCGGTCCTCAGTTTTCACCTACTTCATTATTTTTCACTTTATTTCATTTGTTTACCTCTACGATGTGCCATAGATAGAATTTAGCCTACAAACTGAAGAGTTAAAGCAGTACCTGTACCATCAGTTCAACCATAGGATAGAAAAACACTACCCTAGGTTAATTTATTTATTTATCTATTGCACAGCGGATGTAAAGGTATAAAAGTAAGTACTAAATTCGTTTCACAGTTAAAGTCTAATGAATGTAAGCTTGGGCAATTTTCACAGGTTGTTCTCCCTCAATGTACGTAAAATGGGCGCATTCACGTAGGTGCCGGTTGAATGTACAATGACAGTGATGGCTGCCATAACACCATGAAAATAGCCATCCGTTATTTCTCTAACAACAAACACCTGTTAATTTTGGATGCAGTATGGCTGTTATGTAGTGAAATGTTCAGAATTAAGTAAGGGAGAAATCGGGTAGAAGTGTATTTTCGCTAGAAAATGGTAGCTTCTACGTACTTCGAATCTTATTTTGTATTCTTCAAATGTTGCTCTTAGTCTTGGAGCATACTTATCAAATATTTTCAAGGTATCTGCAGCCAGTTTCGCTAGACGCCGTTTGCCTGTGGTGATGAGAAAGATCGGGATGGTCGATAGTATTCGTGTGGCCAGCGATTTTGTGAGTTGTGTTGACGATCATTTTTGGTTTTTGCTTCTACTCTTTCATTTCTCATTAAATGGGAAGGATAAGGCGAAGTCTCCCGACTGAATCGATTCCGTTTTGGAGTGCACATGCGCATTTCACGCAGAATCGTGGTGACGTCTTGGATGCGTTTATGACCATACAATGAATTGCTGTGGCCAGCTCATCTACAAGACAGTGCTTTTATCCTCCTACAGACCAAAAAAAAACGACGGCGGGAATGAAAGGCTAGGTCCTCTCAGGCGGGTATCGAGGCGGAATTCGATCTCCGCACCATGTTGTAGTACTTAAACCCTTTTTTTCTAAATCTTTCTTTGTTTTCCTGTGCCTGATTGTGTATTTTGATAGGTGGAACAAGGACATGTGCGAATCGGTCCGAAATTGGTCACCGATCCAGCTTTCATGGTGACTCGAAATCAGGAAGATGCTGTCACTTGGACAAATGCCAGTAAAATTAAGCAACATGTGCTGGATTACAACAATTCTCGCGATGATTTCGACCTGGCATAATATCACCGGAATGCCGTTTGTTATGGTTTTTGTTGATTTCACTCAAGCATTACGGGCAGATGTCCTTGGACAAAGACAATATTCTCTTGAAGCAAGTGTGGTCAATTGTAGATCAAAACAGGAGGCGTAGTATACCGTGTCCAAGCAGTGTTCCGTGCTGGTCCGACCAGATGTACAAATTGTTGCTCATTGTTGCTGTTTTGAAATTACAAGGATAGGAAGTGATTCAAAAGATAAAGCTTCCGATTCTACTCGGTGTTGTTTCGAATCCAGCCACGTTGCTGAGGAAACAAATTAATTATAGCGATTTCAAAGTTGTTGTACTGTCTTTTAAAGAACCTTGAAGTGGGTTGCTCCATTCATTTTCAAATTGAGCATCTTAGTGCATAGTTTTAAGTACCCTTACAAATAAGAATGGCTTGAAATGACTGGGAGGCTGCGAAAAGTAAATATCTGCTCGGGAATTCTACTCCCTCAGTGAAAACCTTTAATCAAAGTTTAATTTCTCCCGTATGAAACGTATCAAAGTCATCTGCATCTTCTTCAGTTTCTTCCTTGATTTGTGGAAGCTCTTTCTCTGTATGTTGGCAAAGAACCGCAATGGCACGAGTAGGATCATTGGAAACGTGAGATGCCCATGATAGTCGATCTTCTAGTGACTGTAACCAGTAAGTGTTGAAAAGTGCCTTCGTAAAAGGATGTAGTATCTATCTCAATGCACCTGCTCTGTATCAGTTATGAAGTTGCCGTTGAGACTGATTTCTGATCCACCAAGATGCATCAAAAGTGCGACGAGGTCGAACAATGAAGCGAGTGTTAGCTGCATTTCCTCAATTTTGACTCGGATCATGCTCAACTCTTCGATTGCCGCGAACATCTGGAACGAACAGTCAGTTATGAGGTGCTTCGGCACGAATATATGACCACTTACTTGATCGTGGGCTTCACTGTAAAGCAAATCAATGTGTTCAAAGGTTCCAGGTTTGGTGTTCCTGGTCTTACTAAGGATCAGGGCTTCGATTGCTCGCATTTCTCGTGATCGCTCTCCAATCACTTTCTTTCCAGCTTCGTTTTTCGCCTCCAACTTAACAAGACAAATCTCTACGTCATTAAGCTACTTTTATAGTTGAAGCGCTTACCTCCATGAGTTCCTCAAGCTTGGCAGATATATAACCCATCGGAATATTGGCATGCAAATGTGCATTGGGTTGTTGTAATCGTATTCGTTCAACGAGTTCACGAACGACCACATTCAGCAGTAGTGGTTGATCTGTTTGAACCCTGTAGCGATCTGAAAAAAGCAAGGATCTCATGCCGTTATGTGGTAAAGGCACAGTTAACGATAATTTTTAGGTGGCCTGTTTACGTTGCAAAGCGAAAGCGAATATGTTGGAAGTCGATGGTGAAGCAAGGGAAAAAATTCGCCGATTTTGCAAAAAAAAAGGCTCGTGAAAAGTAGTGAAAATAGAGGTTGTACGAGATTACCTTGACGGAAATTGCATGGAAGGGGTATTTGGACAAGATTTCAGTTTTGCAATTGCGCAAAGAGCCGACTACATTAACCAAAACTGTCCAATATTGCCTTCCACAGTCGCTATGGGTCATGACAAGTTGTTTGAACTTCCTACATGGACTCCCTTGTGAATGGTGCAGCCTCTGTAGTGCCGTTAAAACTCGTCCGCGCATACACACGGGACAATATTTGAGGCTATGTAACGCCGTATCAAGGCCCTTTTCCGACCTCGTACGGTTTACGAGGGGGCCACAGATTTATTCAGGCGGGTATATCTCATAGGCCACTTCCATCGTAAACTGTCTTTGATTTTTGATTCTTGACACACATGAAGTTTATTGTTCATTGTATTAAATAGTTAATTGTAAAAAAAGGTAAGTTCTTATCCAACTTGATTTGTGGGCTGCAAAAATAGACACAGTGGCGTCGTACCCGTGGACTCGAAAACCAATTGATGTCGGATTTTCCGTTTGAAATTCTGAAACAGGACATAATCGAGCATTGAGACCGTTCGTGAACCAACTTTGGCTGAGTATGCTGACCAGGAAAGAGTGAATTGAGCGCTAAACACGGGTGATCAGAGTCCAGTGTGAGTTTGTATGAAGCGTTTCGCTCTGGAGAAGCCTCGGCGAACATCATAGCGAATGGAAGGCGAAGCGAAACAAATGCCGTTGCTGAAAAACCACAAGCATTTATTGGCACTCCGAACTTCCTTCGTTATCTCGTGAAAGAATGACATCGTCACAGCATATGAACCTTGAGTTCCGGAGCAGTGGGCGGCTAGATGTACAGTGGTTGAGGCAGGCATACGATTCCCAATGAAAAAGCCTATTNTCTTGAATTTTCGCTTTGAAGTCGATGAAGCGGTTGTCAATCGGGACCTAAAGTGGGTGGCTGCTACAGAACCTTACGTAGAAGATTAAAGGCACAGTCCACGATAATTCAATGGGCGGGGACGTCAATGACCTTCCCGCCTCTCGGTCGATGCCACGTCGGACGGTCACACGAGTGTCGCGACAATACAGATTGCAACTATCCGTTCTAGGAACCACACACAATCAGCTGATAAAAGAGTGATGAGTAGACGTTTTACTGCCATTCTTTTTTCCTCTATTATTCTTCTTGCTGCCGCGATCCCTTATTTAATTTCCTTCTCCTAGAGGCTGAAAAACGTGAGCTACTTTTGCTGTTACTAGGGTTTTTTTGTACTTATGCTTATAAGTGAATGAATTTTCGCTTACCAATGTCTTTTATTCGCACCAGATCCCACACGTACGCAGTGAGACACATTGTATAACTCGCCCCACTCTTCTTCATTTTTCTGAACTCGTTCTCATCCAGCCCCCTGTCAAACGGTTTTTCGAAGCATTTTTTTCAGTTTGGAAAACCGATTCACGCAGTTTCTCCACCTTCATCGCACTATTTTCGATCTTGTCTTCCATTTTTCATCATAATCTGGTTTACCCAAAATTATCGTGAACTGTGCCTTTAAAGTCTGCTCACCTTATACAAATTGGGCTCGGTTCCTAGATATCCGATAGAGACTCGGCCACTGACAGAAAGCATCGAAAGCACACTCTGATACGTTGAACTAAAAAATCCAAACTCGAAGTGCTGATGTGTTTCTGGAAGGAAAAGAGTGAACCCCCGCATGATTGAAATGAGAAAAACGCGATAGTAGGGATGAATTTCGTTAGAAAAAATGAAAAGTTATGAATGACCATACAACAAAATATTAATTAGGTCGCTCGGGAGGTATTTTCGCAAGTTTCACAAAAGATTTCATCCGGATATTCCTGGAAGCTTTTATAGGAATGCTATTAATAGGCGGTGGACGGAGGTGGCATGTAGTGCACTATCTCATACGCATGCTCACAGGTTCGAATCCCGGACCGATATTCGCCTAGGCCCACCAAGGTTTCAACCCTTTCGAGGTCGGTTAATTTGCACCAGACACGTCTGGAAGGTAAAGGCACTGACTTTTTTATCGGCTGGCCATCGCAAGTGTATAGGCCACACACGCATTCAATACGCCACTGATTCTGAATGGAATACGAATGCGGGGCGCATCCTAGACGGAATTGATTAAGTCGCTATGTGCACATAACAGTTTGGAAGAGCCTTTAGGTCCAATCGCAAGATTTGTTGGGTTCAGCAACGGAGTGGCCAATTTCGAGCTCGTGAACTATGTCTTCAACATGTCTTGGGTAGACAATTCGGTCATTACAGGGTTAAATAAGCAAGCGAGAGGTGGCGGTGGTATGTTACGCACTTACGCGTGGATAATGCCCTTACTAAGTAACTCCATAGAAGCTCTCCGAAAATACTGGAAGGAATCCGGAGTTTTGGTGAAATTTTCCCAGTTATGTTCCACAAAATCCAGTAACGCTCGGTCACTAAGCGAGCTGTCAAAAATGACAGTAAATT